AGACACTCCCGTCACTGCCAGCTGACCCCTGGCTCCCGTCTGGCATGCACAGACCTCTCTGCAGAGTGGGTGCAGAGACACAGCTCTCAGAGCAACTCCTGTCCACTACAAGGCTGGTTTGGACGGTGATCCCATTCTCAAAGCACTGCTTGCACACAGCCTGGTCATTGTACAGCAGGACCATGTCCCCCTGGCAGCGTGAGGGAGATGTGGTCCAGGAATCTCCCGCCCCAGAGCAGGACAGCACAGAATGCTATGGCACACATGTGAAAGTACACACGGTATCCTTAGGCTTTTTTCCTTGTTTCTCTCCCTGCCTCAGTTGTGCTCAGTAAAAATGCAAATGAAGTGCTGTCATTAAGTTCACTCGTACTGCAATGCAAATGATGTGTGTGCTCCCTCTGTCCCTGCCTGCCTCCCAGATTTAGGAGGTGGAGAACAAGGAGGGAGGTGGGTTGCCTGAATTGCAACCTTAATTGGGCTCCTCCCCAGACAACACACACTGAATTTTTCAAAATCACATAAATCATGTAATATCAATTATTCAATCATTCTGCTAATCTCAAGGCTTCCAGAAGACCTCTAGCTTTGTATAAAAGCTGCACATGAAGTACCAGGTATTGACAGCCTTGCCACCAGAGGATTAACACCCAAGGACGTATCGCTTCGGAACACAAGTGGAGCATGCAGTGCTCCGCTGGGAGGTGTTACCTCCGCTCCTCAAAGTGCTCCTGGAGAGGCTTCATCACACCAAATACTGTCACTGCGATTTACAAACCCTGTACTATTGGATTCATTTATCCCGCAACCACCTTGCAGTACGATTCCTAGGGCTTTTCTCCTGACTTCACTGAGGTCCATAGAACCAAGGTACAGAAACTTCAGAGACTAACACAGAGACACCTGACGATTACACACACAGACAATTTCTGGATCCCATGGGACCTGCCTCTCTGCACACACACCTCCTCTCAAGGGTCACACCTTCTACACAGTGGGAGTTGAGAGGGGCAGCCCGTATCACACGTTAGGGTAACCCCATGCTCTGCCAGCCTCGTGTCTCCCTTCCCCAGCCCCAAAAGGGGTAATTGCAGTCTCCATCTGAGCAGAGCAGGGGCCAAACTTTGGTCTTCTCCCATAAACTGGGTTTTCCCTTCATGACCTTTCCTGCGCATCCTGCTCACAACGTGTCTGCCACCATGTCCCCACACAGGGATGCTGCTGCCGGTGTGTTTGGTACCGCTGGCAGCTCCGGCACAGCGGGGCTCAGCCACACTCTTTTCATGGGCAGCTCCAAGAGCACCTGATGCAGCTGCAGAAAGCCAGGAGCTGCCAGCACCATGCAGAGGGTTCAAAGCCTCCCACAGGCAGGAGGGGCAGAAAGAGTCTATTAAAATGCACTGAGCACGTGTAAAGTTTTATTACAAAGCACAAAGGTAGGCTGGCTCCTTTCTCCAGCAGGCACATCTGCATAATCCAGGCTGGGCTCCTGCAGCTGCACTGCGCTGTGCATGCTGCTGCCACCAGTATTGTTTTCATCTGTTTTATTGAATAACCACTACCCCAGGTTTAAGCTGCGTAACAAGCCCTGCTGCGCAGTAATGTCTTTGCTTGCTTTCTGCAGACGCATCTAACTGGAAACTCCCAGGTAGTAAGTGACCATCCTGCAGACAGGAATGCCCATCTTCTGCCTCCGCCTTTTCTGCAAAACTGGGAAGCTTCAGACATAGGCAACATGATGGCAGGTGGGGGATTGCAGCTCCATGGCAGATTGCAGTCATACCCCATGCTCCCAAACCATGCCAGCACTGCGGGATCCACAGTCCTACCTCTGCTCCTGCTGTTACTGCCAGGCAGGGAGGATGAGCAGCAGGAGATAGGACTGTGGATCCCACTCTGGCAGGACAGCAGATTGCATAAAGGGGGAAGGAGATGGTGCTGCCTCATTAATCATGATAAAGAACAGGCTTAAAGAGAGCCTGGCTTTCAGCATGGTAATTAATGAGCTCTTTAATTTTAGGCTGTAACATCCAAACTACCCCATTAGGCAAAGAGCAGCTCCAAGTGTCCTTCCATGTGATGTCAGGGAGATGCATGGAGAGCTCTGGAGTGCAAAGCTCCAGGGGCTTCTCCTGCAGCACCAGAGGTTCACTGGGCCATGGTCTCAGCACGTCAGAGATTTAAAGCTCTCCTCACCAGCTCAGCCCTGCTGCTGGCATGGAAGAGGACAGGGATGCTCCGTGATTCCCGCACTGAGCCTCTGGCCTGCCCTGGCCTTCTGCAAGGGCTCTGGGAGTCAGTGCCCGGGAGAACACCAGGCTGCAGGGATCAATGTGGGAATGCTGGAGCAAGGGGGCAACCATCGCCTCTGCCTCTGGTCCCACACAGAGCTCGGTGGTGTCTGCATCGCCCTGTGGGCAGGATGCAAGCCCCACGTCCAACACAGGGACTGAGCATCCACACGTACAACCTGCACGTGGCTGGTGGCACGGCTGAGCCCTCAAGAGGTGGCCGAGATTACAGCAGACTGGAGACTGTCCAGGACCAGCACTGCCACCACGGCTCATTTCCCCAGGAAAACATTCACAGAAGTATTCCAGGTTCCCTGGTTGAAACTCAGCCCAGGCCGCCCATGGATACCCTCTGTACATGAACTGGAGATTTGTCCCACATATATTCCTCAAAGACTGTATGTCTTCTTTTTTTTTACAATAATTCCAGCCATAAATGTCACGTGCTGGAGACCTCATTATTGTGAGCAGAGCAAAGTGTGCCACGCAATAAATCCTTTTGTGGGAAATAACCCTGTTGACTAGAGGAATTTATGAATTTATTACTCTGTAGGAGCCTTTCCTCCTATGACTTAAGGAGAGACCTATCATCCTACAGGAGACGTTGCTGGTTCCCTGTTTGGAAACCTGCATAAGGCTTTATGTTGCATTCCCTGCCTGCATGTCCCAAGGGTTCATTCCACGTGAATCACTGGTTATAAACAAGGGGGTTTGGAACCTGCACCCGCCTGCCCTGCCAGTGTCAGCCATGCCGACCCTGCTCCTGCCATGACCCATGTGCCCACCAAGGCTGCGTCCCTGTGCTCACAGCCACTGCACTTGGAGCAGCTGAGAGGTGAGAAAAGCCCTGGGCAGGGCTCCAGGGCAGCCATCCATCCGGGCAGCACAGCGTGGATGTCCCACGGAAGCACAGCTCTGCGCTTCCAGGCCCTGCCATGCAGGACTCGTGCACGACACCCCCAGAGACTCGCCTAGAACAAAGTCCAGAAGCAGAGAAGATCTCACTGCTTGCTGCAAGAAATCCCTGGCAGTGGTGCTGGCCATGGGAAGGGTCACACAGCCCCTGCCTTGTCCCACTGCACGCTGAGGACAGTAGAGCTGCCACCGCGCCTCACCATCCACCACCCTCGAGCAGCCTGAAGAGCTCCTGCTCCCACCCCAGCATTAGCCCCTCTGCCAGCGAGCAGCGAGCAGCGAGCATCCACAGCAGCAGAGGGATGGGGCTGGCAAACAGGGAACATCAGAGGAGTCAACTGGACCAGCAAGAGAAGGTGCACAGCAGGAGCCCACCTGCAGGTACGGTGCCTGCTCGCTGGGTGATGGCCGTGCCGAGACCATGCCCTGTTATCCCATTGTCAGTTTTATTCCAACACAGGTTTGGAATACTCAGAATACAAACCTTTTCTGCAAGATTACAAAACGCTCGAGCACTTCTGCAATTTGGATGGCAGGGGATCAATTACTTGGGCATGGTTTTGCATATAATGGCCTGCAACAGATTGTAAAGTTTCTCAGTTAGCAAAGCAATTATGAATACTGAATGCAAACTAATGGCTACAGAGTGGTGGAACGGGGCCATCTGGACTCGAAGACATGCTCCTGACTACAAGGGGAAGGAGTGCGGGGAGGGGACCCCTTCAGCTGAATGCAGTAAGTACTTGGCTAAGTGTGTGAGTTTCACGGACATGCTGTGGGAGAAAAGCTGTGGCGTGAGAAACAGTGCCCAAGAACAAACACAAACACAAACAAATGGAAAACGGAGAAAGGGAGAAGTGCTGGAAATCCTTTTGCCAAGAAAGAAGTTCAGATCTCACTTCCAAGTGATTACTGTTTATTCCAGAAGACCAGATCACTTTGTTTGTTTAATGATTCAAAACAGATTAGTTTCAAAAACCCTTGAAAGCTTCCACAAACAGACTCCCATCCAGCCAAAACCCAGCTGGCGAAGCTCCTGGGTGTGAGGACAGATTTATTTATCACTTCTCGGCAATGACTATTCGGGGTTTATTTTGTTGAAAAGGGAAACAAGTCAGGGTTTGGACCATCCAAAGTGGCAATCAGTGCCCTCAAGCAACAGAACTAAGAGTGATTGCCATGAAGGGCTCCATAAACCGCCTCCTTTACAGCACGTTCCCAGCACAGGGACTGGGTGCGCCGCTCTCCGGCTGTCTCCAGCTCATAGGCGATTGCTCCCGGGCTCCCCAGCCCACCCAGGCTCAGGTCCTGCTCCCCAGGCTGCCTGCACCCCTCCATTGCACACAGATCCACCTCACCACCATCACCCTGCGTCCTGCACGGGGCCCCTTGGAGCTATGGGCTCTATTCCTGCTGCTGCCATCCATCCATAAAAAATGCATGTGGGGTGAAAGGTTTTACACAGCAAACAGAACCAAGTTTAAGGGCTACAAATGTCAGATCTCACAACGCACTGTTCATAAAACTGCTGAGAAGAAAGTCACAGCACCAGCAGCATGGACCAGGGGATGGGACCACAGATTTCCTGGAAGTAAATGAAAATGACATCAGGGGTTATTTTTCTCCTACTTTTAAACATCAGCCTAGCAGGAGCATCAAAGTAATCCATGAGTCTGGTCATTCCTGTAGCACACTGGTATAAATCAAAAACAAAACCACGGTGGAGTCAGGTGGAAAATCATCTTCCAGAGACATCCAACTGAGCTCAGCAAAGGAGAAAAGGCTGACACAACATCTTTAAACATTTTTAATTACCCTGTCAAACTGACAATTATGGAGCTAATTATTAGGAAGACAATACCAGATACACTGAATAGCACATCAACAGTGGTTTTATGTAATTATACAATTTAATGAATTGAAGGCTACAGTAATGGACTATATCTGGTTAATTAGAGCCTCCCTTTCTGCTAATAATGCCATTTATTTTCGACTCACTGTATTTGTTTTTCCTGTAAAACCAAGCATGTTTCCACAGATGATGAAGGATTTCTCACAGCAGCTCCCGTGCCCCTTCTGTTATTTACGGTAGGCAGGCTTTTTCATGGGGTGGACGATGAGCTCCAGCTGGATGCTCTTTCATGTCCAGCTTTGCTGTATTCCCCAAGGGTTGATTAGAGACTCGGGCTGGGTGGGCAGAGGGAACCCCTCAACCCCCCCCAGACCCCTTCCCAGGCCAGGAGGTGCCCAGCAGCACATGGGTGGGCTGAAGGTGCCCGTCTGAAGCTCTCACAGGACCATCCCTGCAGCAGCAGCCACCACGCTCCTGGCGCCAGAGAGCAAGAGCAGGGGCACAGGGACGGGGCTGCACAGGGGCTCCTGCCCCGGCACAACCCACAGGAAGACAAAGAGAGAACTGAAATGATTTCCCTTGCCGATAACATTTTGGAGGGTCTGAAGCATCCTAATTCCTCATTGTTGAATGAAAATTGTCTGATAAATTATTGATTGTATTCAAAATGTACCCACGGAAACCATTTTAATTCTTCTTTTCTCTTTTTGGAAATAATTAAGCTGTTTGAAGTTTCTAATCACTTGAAGCTATTTCCCATTACTGTTACCTGGAGGGTTTGAACAGTCTCCCATCCACAGGAGACACCATGTGCACCTACGGGATGAAGTTAGAGCCTCTTTTTGCACTAACTGTTGGTGGAACTTGCAGACTGTGCAAGCCCCAAGCCCCACGAGCTGCGTGGTGTGGAGCAGCCCCCAGTGAGGGGGTCCTCCCAGGCACGGGGCAGGCAGACCCCTTCTGCAGAGCTGCAGGACCTGGCAGATGAGAGCACCAAATCTGTCCTCTCACATCTGCACTTCACTGGCATCAATGGCACAGCTATTTGGTAGGTGACTTCCTTGCAGTGTGTTAGTAGCTTTGCCTACCGTGCACACGCAAACACACTGTAGGACTCCCCATCTAAGTGAAAGCTGTTCTTAGGAAGGAGTAAATTCATTAATGCACTTGTAAATTAATACAATCCTGGCAATTGTGAAAACATCCTGAGCTTTTGTTGGCCTGGAGATTTATTCAGTCCTGCTGGCTTCCAGCTGAGGCAGAAAAGATCATAAACCTGCCAACAGAAATGCCTCTGCAAAATGTTCCAGGCTCAGCTATAACATTCCTCCTCCTGCTGGCACATCAGCCAAGGTGCCTCAAAAAGGCCAAGAGCTGAACTTGCAAAGCCCGTCCCCTTTGTCCTTGCCAGCAGCCACTCAGTGGCATTAACACTGACAAGAGGTGACCATTCTGCAGTTTGGATTTGGTTCAGGGGGGATCTTTCAAAGCTTCATTCTTTCTAGGAATATAATAAGCCTTGAGCTGTGTTTCTTGCCCATCAAAATCAGCGCAGTCCATGAGGGAGCGCTGGGAGAGCTGTGGCAGGCATGTGGGCTGCACGCCAGCTCCTGTTCGCAGCCAGCCCAGGTTCACCGCCCGCTCAGGCAGCAGGAGCTTCCATCAGGTACTTCCAGGATGCACCCACCTTGTCCTTGAGCTGCCATTTGGCTCCTAGTTTCCCTTCAGGCTGCACTGTCAGATGACCAGACAGCTGTGTGAGCCGGGACTGCTGGCAGAGTCCCACTTCCCTACCATCAGCCCTGCATCAGGAGTGAGGGAACAATGGAGAATGGGCCAAAGAAAGCTTCTCTGAGCTGCCCTTCCCAGCTGTATACAGGAACCTGTCATAAGTTTAGGTAGAATCAAAGCGTTTTGTCTCTGAAGACACACCAGCATGAAAGTCAGACCGCAAGGAGGGTGATGGTACCGGTCACGCACACCATGCAGTCCGCCACTGCGCCCCAGCGATGGGGTCCAGCAGTACCCACAGCTTCCAGCTTCCCTGAGGAGAGCCTCTGCTGCTATGCAATGGAAACAGCACTGGGCTAAGCACTGGCAGGAAGAGCAGGAGCAGCCTCTGTGGGAGCACAGCCACAGCAGGACCCGCTGCCTGCAGGGACAGCCACGTTCCTGCTCCACGCTGCTGAATAGGTCAGGCACCACACGCTGGTCCCTGCTCCCCCAGCACTGCTTTGAGACCTGCAGCTACTCAAAGGCACTAACCCCAGCTCTCCAGGGGGGCTCTGAGCACTTGCACCCACCTCTGCGCCTCCCCAGGGGTCAGCAGCTGAACGTCCCCCGGCTGTCAAGGCAGAGATTTCACCATGGTCCCCTGGGTTTATAAAGGCCCCAGAGCCCCCAGGCCCAGGCCCAGGAGATCCATGCTCCTTAGGAGTAGCACCATTACATGTGGACCGCAGCTGAGATGACAGAGATGCTGGTGGGATCCTGCTGGGCAACCCACATCCCAATGGATAAGCAGAATGCTGCTGCACTGCCCCATGCTGAGCTGGCTCTGCAGACTCCCCACTTTGATGAAGCACCACACACCTCTGCCCTGCAAAGCCAGACACGTCCAGCAGCACAAATTCAAATTGCCCAGCTCTAGCAGCAAGAAAAATCAATCAATAACTGGCAGCACAGCTCATGACCTCTAGCACGGATGCTCTGCCTTCATAGGTGCAGGAAAAAGGCTGCATCCAGGGATGGGAAAAGGCTGAGCAGTGAGAGGACACCAGGGCTGCAGTCAGACTTTGCCAAATATTGAATAGACAAATGATCCAGAACCAGCACTTCTTCTGAGGAGCAGCAGCATTTCATTTTCATTTTCATTGGGGAATGCTCAGCTAGCTGATTTTATGACAGTATGTCTTTTTTATATATATATATAAAATTTGTGAGTGAATTTAGTGCTTATGAAACCAAAGGAGTAATAGCACTGGCAAGAGCCAGGGTAAGGTGGAAATACAGGCCAGTATCTAGTGGTGTTGAGGCAGCACAGCACTATGTGTGATACTGCTTGTGCTGCACTCAGGGAAGCAGCCGCCCTCCTCTTCCAGCTCTCCAGACCAGGTACCAGTCATTCCCTGGGACTCCAGTGCTCACTTCCTCAGCAGGAAAATCTCCACCAGTCTCAGCACAATAGTCATGAAAGCAGAAGCTGCTTGTGCCAGTCCTTATGTGGCACAAGTGGTACCAGCGAAGCTCCATGCAGCTCTGCCTGCCAGAGATTCACACCGGTCATCTCCAGAGTGGTGACCCAAAATGTCCCAAAGGAGTAACTGGTTTGATTTCCCTCCAAGCTGGGCATCAGAAGAGCTGAGCTGCTCCTCCTGCACCACAGAGCACTTCCCTGCAGTGGTCTCTGTCCTCCCACTGCTCCTCATTGCCAGGGGGGTCCGGTACTGGAGAGCCCTGGCAAACTCCTCAGGCAGCCACCTTTCCCACAGCATTGCTCCCAGCTTCCAGCTCTGCCCTCAGCCTCCACCCTGTACACATCACTGCCAACCTTCCTGCGAAACTGCCCAGCCTTCTGCAATGTCTGCCTGTGCAGCCAGCAATGACCACGTAGTTGCCACATGTACTTTCCTCTGCCGCATGAACATGTGCTGCCTTGGTGCCGGGGCCCCATCCCTCTTGCTTTACTCAGCTTCTCTCCTGCATTCTTCCCCTGCCTTATCAGCTGCGCTGACGCTGTCTTCATCTCTCTTCATCTCCCTTTCATGCAGTGACACAGGCAGATTTTTTTTCCAATCATTTACACTTTTTTCCTACTTACAGTCTAAGATCTGCTGGCTGATAGCAAAAGGATCATCAGGTGGGACATCCCCATCGCATTGCTCATTGCATCTATAGGGCTTTTGAATATCTAGGGTGCACTCAGAGGACCACCCACTCCTCTTCCTGCTGCAGATCCTCCTGGGCAGCTGCTTGCCCTGCTCTGGCAGAGCTTTGGCAGGAGGTCAGAGTTGATAAGCAGAGCTGTCCCCTCTGGTCAGGAGCCTGTGGAATGCCAGATTTTACATCCAAGCTCAGTTTCCATCTAGTGATCAACCATCCGTTCACTAACGGTCCAGGCTGAGCGGTCTGCACAGGGCCCAGGGGGAACGGCAAGGGGCCAGCAGAGCTGTGAGGGCAGGAGAGGCAGTAATGGCAGGCCACACCAGTGTGCAGCAAACATCCGCTGTTCTGATCCATCATCCCATCATCCCTGCAGCACAGCCCCCAATGCCAGGAAGAGTTTCATGTGCCGCATCCAGCACCAGCACCCACCCCACATGGGCCCTGGGTGCCCCATCCCGCTCCCACCTCCTGACCACGGCATCAGCTCCATCCACCCCATCACAGAGGCCAAACCCAGCACTGTTCTGATGACCGGGGCAGGGCTGCAGGGCAACAGGAGGCTTCTGCTTTCCTGCCTTCAAATGTTTTTGCAGAGCTCCATCTAGGGGGGATGTTGCTGGACAAGGCTGCAGAGCAAGACAGGTACCAGTAAACAAGTAAACTGCTCCTTCCCCTGGCCTGAGGCCTCTTGTCACACACGTACGGTGCTAATTAAAAAGGGAGGGAACAGCCCATAAATTTTACAGTTTACTCTAGCTGCAGTTCAACTGGTTTGACAAGAGCTGATGTAGGTAAGTGCAGCTCTGCAGACCACTGGTGCATCACTGAGAGCCCGAGACTTAATTAAATGTTATTCTAGGAATAAAATTTCACCCTCATCGGATGAGACTGAATATTAAAGCATCAATTTCCTGAAGGAGACTGCCTGTAAGCAGCGTCTCCTGCCATGGGAAAGCAAAAATAACCCCAGGGACTGGCACCGACATCCTTCAGACAATGGCACAAAGCAGCACGGTGGCCGTGGGAGCGCACACTCTGCAAGGGACAGAGCAGGTCCCACGGGCACACACACAGGACACACACGGAACTGCTTTCCAGGCCATTGTACATTTTGGGCACTTCTGAGGCTCCCCGTGGGCACGGGAAATCTCTGCCTGCTCAGTGCAGACAAGGGGGGACCGGTCCCTCTCCTGCAGCCCCGGCAGCCCCAGCCTGGCTGTGTCCACAGGCGGGTGCCTGTACCCAGACATGAAGCACGTGCACCCTCGCCCTGATCTGTCTCCTCTCTGCACCCACCCGGGCACCCCAAGCTCTCCCACAGCCTTCCTCACGACAGCTGACGTTTGATGTTCCATTCTGCTGGCACTAAGCACAGTGCCCACAGCTCCCCCCCCTCCCCCCTCCCCCCACTGCACTCCCCCCTTGGCTGGGGTGCCACATCACCCCGAGAGCTAACACGTAGAAGCAGCAAGGGGTGCTGGAAGCACACCAGGCACCTCCCCGGGCCCGCTGTACCCTGAGCTACCAGACACTGCGCTGGGGAGGGATCCCAGCATCAGAGCTGCAGCAACAAACAGCAGTCCAGGGGGCTGGAGATCCCCCTGGGGAGGGATACAACAGATCTACCCACATCCTCCGTGCGGTTTTATTTCGAAGCAGATCGTGGTGTTGCAATTTATGGCATCAGCCCCAGGATGAATGAACAGCGTTAAACTTCACAAATCCTCTAATATTGCTGTGCCTGCAGTTGGAGGCCTTCACATATGCAGATATTAACTTCTCCGTTGCTCAGAAGTCTCTTTCTAATTTAATACGTGCCCAATATTGCAAAACTCATAACACGGGTTTCTCCAGAGGACCCAGCTGATCTCCCAGCAAAGGGCAGCCTGTCACTGCAGCAGTTCGGGCTGCTCCACACACTCCCACACCAGGATGCAGGGTGATGCCAGGAGCCCCACACACCCTCGCCTGGCCCACCCCCAGGGAGCACAGGGCAGAGGCTCTACCTGCAGGTCCTTCCCCCCTCCCATGGTCCCACCACCTCCCACCCCAGCCTTGGCAGATCTCTCATCTTAATGGTATTAGGGGGGGCTGGCAGCTGGGTCTGCCCTTTGCTGGCACTGTCACATCAAGCAGTTGCTAACTGACCAGTGTGTCCCCCTTTGCTGAGCTATTAGCAATGGCACCATGGCATCTTGCTGACACGAATTATCTGTGAGCTTGCAGGATCTGCGGCAGGGTGAGGGCAGCGGCAGATGTGGCCACCATGCCCCGGGTACCATCGCTGGGCCCTGAGCAACAGCAGCCCCTTCTCCCCCAGCAGCACTCCGGGTTTGGTTGGGCTGTCACCGTACAGGGGCACCCTGCTTCTCGGGCCACGTTCACCAGTGGCAGTAGGATGGAGCCACCAGCACACTGAGGAGCGGGACTGGGTGGGCTTTGCCCTGGGTTTGAGGCATTGCCTTGCAGGCAGCGCAAACAGGAAGGGCAGCAGGAGAGCAGCCGGTGCAAAGCCCACGAGGGATCCTCCTCCAGCAAACCACCACCACAGAGAGAAAAGGATCAGACTTTGCAGTCTTCCCTTTCCTGGCAGCTCTGAGAGCTTCCCATTATCCCAGTCGCCCTCGGTTCGAGGGGCTGTCCCCACAACAGCTTCCTCTGAGATTAGCAGAGCTCAACTGTTAGCAAATAAAGGAGCCGCAGCAAAGCAAACAGGCTCCAGGCACTCCACACTGCTGAGAGGGCTGGGATGGGTTTAACACACACTTATGTGCATTTCACACATGCATTTGCATTTAGCAAACACTCATCTGAAAGACTCTGAACCCTTGTTGGCTCTTTGTAGCAGCTCCCGCACAAATCCCCCTGCCTGGTCCCTGCGGCTCAGCACTCACACTGCTGCCTCCCGGCACGCCGGGCTCCCTACAAGAGGATTCCTCCTGCCCGGCCCCGGTCAGTGCTTCCCGGCGCAGAAGCTGCAGTTGGAGGGGGGCAGACCAAGCCCCCTCCGCGGGAGCAGCACCCACCAGCCCCATCCAGAGGGGCACTGGCTGGAGAGCGGTGTGGATCCGCAGGGATGAGGGACAGGGGCTCTCTGAGGACGTTTCCCCTGGCCAGGAAGAACCTCTCTCCTTCCCTCAGTGCCTGACTTGAAACTATCTCCTCATACCCCTTTTGAATGCCATACATGATACAAAGGCTGAGATGGAGTAAGGATTAATTGATTTTCATGGGTGAATCCAAAGGCTGCCCCCAGATTGTCTGTCTGCAATGGTCATTGTGGACGTTGTGCAAGACCCAGCCAGAGGACTCCAGAGATGAGCTTAATGAAGACTCTTTCTGTCCCTCAGAGGCTGTTTGGTGACACCAGCTCAGAATCTGCTGTCATTTATGGCAAAGTCCATTTTTTAAGTAATAGGAGGGAGCTGTTGAGGACACACATGCTCAGGTGAGCAAGGAGCACAGCACCGGCCCTGGCTCACCAGTATGTCCCCACTGAACACACCAAATCTGCTCCCCAGGACCATCAGCACCAGCCCCTGTACCTCCTGCAGGCTCAGCCGTGCAGCACCACCCAGCCCAGCCTGTTCCCGCTGGCTCTGCCAGGCCCTCGCTTCTCCCATCTCATCCCAGCTCTCTGTGCCAAGCCACATGGCAGGAACTTTGAGAAGTCACATCCAGGAGGAAATGCAAGCAGCCTCAAACCCACACTTCGCTCCTGCCACTGCCAAGCTGGCACATGGAAAGGATATGGCTGTCATCCAGCCCTCTGCTCTTTGCCTGCATCTGCTCCATCCCAGGACGTCTGCAGACTCCTGAGCCTGCCGAGGACAGACAGGGCTGTCTGCAGCACCCACAACTTTTCTCCTACTTCCCTACCAGGTTTGTATACCTGGTTTTCCAGCTGCATCCTGTGAGAACCAGCAAGACAAGGATATTGCTAAAGGAGAAGGAGAGGTGGAGAAAAATCACCTTCTGACTCCAACAGAAGGTCCCAGGAAGGTCAGCTGGGCTGTGAGCAGCATCCTGAGCAGGAGCTTGGGGCAGGACACAGCGACGTGGGGCACAGAGCTGGGCAATGGCCCTGGTGCTGCAGGGAGGAGGTGGGGACAGTGTGCAGGAGCCTTGGGAAGTGAATGGTCCTGGCTGTGGGGCCACGTGAGCTTCCCCTCTCCCACTGTCCCTGTGTATTTAACCCTGTCCTTGGGAGCCATTAAATTCCTGCTCTGTTGCAATAACCAGTGAGTTCAGACCTGAGGAAATGGTTTGTGGTCGACTCCTGTCCCCTCAGGGCAAGCTGATACCCCACAGCCGAGGGCCAGTACCATGAAACACAACATCCTCCCTGGTATTCCCTCAGTTACCCATCTGGACAAGGCGTGCAGCAGTTAAACAAGCTGGGTGCATTGTCTGCTGCATGGTGGTAGCTTTGAGGGAATTCAGACCTTTAGCCACGTGACCTTCTGCAGTGTAACTGTGACAATCGTGCCATTTTTATTCCCTGGTAGCTGAAATATTTCAAAAACTAAATGACCCAAGGTCATTAAGCTTTGTAAAGAGATCGCTGCAGGTATTTCCAGACATCTATCAAAAACTAAGTCACCATGACTGCCTGTGACTAGAGCAGAGCACAGACCCACAAACAGTAAATTGTCCTGGTTTATATCCCTTCGGAATTTTTGCTGAGGTTTCCTAATTCTTCAGATCCAATTTGATGACCATATTAATTAAAATTAGAGCTGAATAAGAGGCACCTTTATGCTCTTATCACCCTATCTGATATGAAGAATGAATCTAGCTGATGAAAAATAGCACAAAGATAGATAGCTATGTAATGGAGGTTCTTTAAACCTGGTTCTGATTTAAGGCACGTTACTACTTCTGCTTGCCTGTGGTATTTGAAAGAGACGTGCAGAAAGTTTCCACGGTTTTGCTTTCTCTGTCCCCAGCTGCACAAGCTGTGGCTATACACACACGAGGGTCTGGGATACTTCACCTCATTTCTGGTACTTAGTGTCTATCACAGTGTTTGTTGTAAGAATAAAAGCAATGCAAATGATGAGATGATTTTAAGGAAAGGAGCTGCAGAAAGGAGCCAGCATCCACCCCACTGCACCTGCCCCAGTGCCCCATTGATGGGCCCGTCCTGCCCAGCCTCTGGCAGAACCGGCACCAGCAGAAGAGCCAAGCTGTTTAAAAGGTGCAGGTCGCACCAGTGCAACATCATGCATTACTTCATGAGGGGCCCCTGCAGAGCATCCCTGCTGCCCCTTGCATAGCAGCAGCGCCCCTGATGTGCTCTGAGCGATGGGCACAATGCAGGAAATAAAATTCTCCTTGAGCAGTGTCCCTACAGGGGCTTCCCAACCAGCAGCATGTGTGGGGTGCAGGATGAGTCCAATGTTCAGTGAGCATCCATCCCAGGAGGACCCTGTTTGCAGAGGTGACACAGCAGCACCAGCTGCTCTGCTGCTCATTTGACAAGTGTGACACAAACCTAGATCACAAGATTAGATCGGGTTTTCTTGCCATTCTTGTTGCTTCATTTCAGTGGGGTGAGAAAAAAAAGCCAAGGCACAGCTAACCTGATCAGGGTGTGCACGGTGAGCCGGTGAGCCCGCAGAGT